GCGATCACAGCCCCAACTCGGCGCCCGCAGCATCAACGCCCGTCGCGTACCAGGGCACTTCTAGCACGGGCTTACAGTCAACTTTAGAAGCCCTGCAAACACAGTTGCGACACTTAGTCGCCAGGTTCAACAGCTTACTATGAACCGTCGTCGTCATAGCCGATCAAAATCGCCCTTCAAACATTCTAAGTCTAGCAACAGGCAGGCTGGCTATTGGTACCATCAGCGTTTTGGTACCGCAGCCCATAAATGTGTCAAACCTTGCAACTTCGCCGAGAAGCAGGGAAACTTCTCGGCCGGTCCGTAACGGCGACGGACGCGACCGGCCAACACCAAAGTCGCCTCATCCGCGTTAGGGATTTAACTTCCGGCACCGAGTTTCTAGTCGACACTGGTGCCGAAGTTAGCGTTATACCCCGTAGCCCAGATGAGGTCGTCTCACCCTCGCCGACCAAGCTGCGTGCCGCCAATGGCACATCAATCGCAACTTTCGGCGAAAAGCTGCTAACGCTCAATTTAGGCCTCCGGCGAACCTTTCGCTGGCCTTTCATAATCGCTGCCGTGCCTTTCGCCATCATAGGCATAGACTTTCTTCAACGCTTCGACCTCATCGTCGACGCTAAAAGGAAGAAGCTTATCGACTAGGACACAGCTCAGTGTTATTGGAACTAGCACCAACGTGGCTGCTATCACTCCCATTCGTGTCCTACCTCAAGCTTCACAACCTTTTCTAGAACTTTCCAACAAGCATCCTAAACTCGTTCGCGTCCTGAACGACTTGCCTCCTGTGACGTCAAACATCATGCATCACATTTGCACTAAGTGACCACCTGTTTCGGCCCGCCCTCGCCGACTAGCCCCGGACAAGCTCAGAGCCGCTAAGGCGGAATTCCAGCAAATGCTCGAACTGGGGAATCATCCGCCCGTCCGGCTGGCTTGCCGAACTACCTCCTCGTGGTGCCAGCTGGGTGGTTCGGGTGTACCCCGTTCCAGCAAAGTGTTCGGCGACAATGTTCCACCTCGGTGGGACATTGTATTCCAGCAGGTGTGCTGACTACATGGGGAGTATTGGACCCCTGTTTGGTAATCTACCAAACAAAGACGCATGAACTGAACATTCAGTCAACGCCTCCCAATGGGCGCGATTCCCTAAATTCGCCCCGCTGCCTTGCGGGTAGGTTATTTAGCCAAAGGCTCGGGGTGGAGTCCCCTAAGTCAACTCCCTACTTCGGCTTGGGCAACCGGGTAGTATCACGCCCTCTCGCAAAACCATGGACTGTATTACAACTTGCTCATCAGCTGCTGTTTCTGCTAGTCACTTTCACGCGACTTCATCACACGCCAATTGTTTGTTTGTTAACAATCCTCACTTTCCGTTACCCGATTCATGTGTTCAACAATCTGGCTGCGATTCCGGTTGCGCCGCAGACCAAGGAGTTCAACCTATGGCTCTCCTTCGTCCCCGATCCTCGTTCCGTCTGGCGTGCTTCAACGTTCGGACACTCATGCAGATTGGACAGCAAGCCGGTCTAGCGCGCACTCTAGATTCCCTAGACATTGATGTCTGCTGCCTTTCAGAAACCCGATTGCAAGATCCCAGCACTGTGCTTACATTGACATCCCCCACTGACCACGAAGCCAGATATCACCTGCGTCTTTCTGGAGATCCAGAAGCAGCCTCAGCGGGTTTGGCTGGTGTAGGTATAGCACTAAGTGGCAAGGCCGAGGCGGCACTACTGGACTGGTTCCCGATTAACAGCCGACTATGTGCAGTTCGGCTTCGGGGTTCATGTAGAATCAACAGGCACCGCGAAGAGAGACACAATTTGTTTGTGATCTCTGTGTACGCTCCAACTGACTGCAGTGGTGACTCGGTCAAGGACGAATTCTATCGAGATCTACAACAGCTCTTGACAAATGCTAAAATGTCGGATGTCGTTATCCTTGCTGGGGATTTTAATGCACGGGTTGGCCGCCTGTTACCATACGAACGCCACCTTGGTGGTCATCACGCGCTCGATGAGAACCGCTCTGATGACGGAGAGAGACTTCTCACATTATGCGAAGACAACCGTCTGTTTCTTTCGAGCACTAACTTCAGGCGTACGAAGAAGCGTTCCGCAACGTGGCGTCCCCCTTCTTCAACACAACCGTGGTCTCAAATTGATCACATTGCAATTAGCTTCAGATGGCGCGGCAGCGTACTAGACTGCAGGTCCTTTTGGTCCACCTTCGTTGACTCAGATCATGCTCTGGTCTGCGCGAAAATCTGTATGTGTTTTGGAGGATCCCGAAACACGAAGCACCGCAAGATTGATGTAAACAGATTAACTGATTCCTCTGTCCAGACGAGCTATCAGTCTTCATTGGCATATGCACTCAGTTGCAATCCACCGCAAGAAGTGGAACAACACTGGACTTGTATACAGAAAGCGATGACCATTTCCGGACAGTCATGCTGCGGCCTAACTCGACGCCCCTTGAAGGCTTGGATCTCTGCTCGTTCTCTGGAGCTGTTCGAACGCCGCAAAGATATCCCCGCGGAATCAGGTTGCAACGAGCGGCGCCGTTCTGCCAACCGGCTGCTCAAGCAAAGCCTACGCAAGGATCGCGAGACATGGTGGTCTGAGCGTGCTTTAGAGATGGAGACCGCTGCCCTCTCTGGCAACACTCGCAGGCTTTTCCAACTCATTCGGTCCACTGACCTCAGGAAACCTGGTGTCAGTGAGGTCATTTGTGAGGTGGATGAGTCTCCGATCACCAACCAACAGAGGTGTATGGACCGTTGGGCCGAGCACTTTCACTCGCAGTTCAACTGGCCTCCACCATCCATCAGTACATGCAGTACACGTTGTTGTCCACCCTGGCTCGTCCCTCTGAATCCACCCAGCGAAGCGGAAGTCGGCCTTGAAATTCGACGCTTGAAGCGCTTCAAGGCTGCCGGCTTAGACGGACTTCCTCCGGAGCTATTCAAGTACGGCGGTGTGGCGATCATTAACCAGCTGACCGCGCTGTTCGCAAAAATTTGGCATGAAGAGAAAGTGCCTTCCTCTTGGGGCGAATCAGTTATTGTCCCGATTTTCAAGAAAGGCGCTCGCACTTCATGTGCAAATCATCGCGGGATTAGTCTTATTTCGGTTGACTCCAAGCTATTGGTATCCATTCTGCTTCGCAGGCTATCCCCAGTACGTGAATCATACTACCGTGAAGAACAAGCTGATTTCCGTCGTGGCCGCGGATGCGTGGATCAAATCTTCACGCTCCGCCAGCTCCTCGAACATCGCCACATTTATCACAGGCCCACTATCATTGCATTTCTAGACATACGTGCCGCTTTTGACTCCGTTGATCGACCTGCTTTATGGCGTTGCTTACTAAAGAACGGGGTGCCAGAGAAATATACCGCCATCTTACGAGCACTTTATCTTCATACATGCGGCAGAGTGAGGGTCTATGGCAAGCTTTCCTCGCAATTCACTGTCAATAGTGGTGTGCGACAGGGCTGCCCTATGTCCCCATTCCTCTTCAATTTCGCAATCGAAGACGTTCTGTCGAGTGCTCTAGAAGGTTTCCAACATTTTGGCCTAGAGCTTCTACCGGGTGAGCGCGCGACCGACTTAGATTATGCTGATGATATCGCCTTACTTGGTGACGATCCTCAGAGTATGCAACTCATTCTGGATCGTTTGGCGGTTGAAGCATCTAAGTATGGCATGAGCTTCGCCCCATCGAAGTGTAAAATACTGCTCAAGGATTGGCATTCGCCTGCTCCCGTACTCACTCTCGAAGGTGCACAACTTGAACAGGTAGATAGTTTCGTCTACCTTGGGAGCTGTATTTCTGCTGATGGCACTATCAGCAAAGAAGTTTCTCTTTGTATCGCTAAAGCTCGATCGGCATTTGTCAATTTGAGGCACTTGTGGCGTCGTCGCGACGTCTCATTCTCACTAAAGGGCCGCGTTTACAGTGCATCAGTTCGCTCAATATTGTTGTATGGGTGCGAGTCCTGGCCGCTTCGCGTGGAAGACATGCGTCGTCTTTCTGCGTTCGATAACGGTTGCTTAAGGATTATCGCGCGTGTTTGTTGGCAACATCGCGTTAATAGTAATGACGTTCGACATCGCATCTTGGGGAATGCGAGTATTCCGTTCAACAAACTGGTTTTGTTGCGCCAGTTGAGATGGCTCGGTCACGTCCTACGCATGGCACCTGAGCGTCTACCACGTCGCGCTCTATTCGCTCGTCAAGGACCTGGCTGGAGGTGACCGCGTGGTGGTCAGCCTTCCACTTGGCGGCAGCACATGAAATCGCTGACGTTGTGTCTAGCCGCTGTAAGATCCGTACGTCTTCCAGGATGGGGACCAAAAGATGAGGAGTGCCAATGGCTTAGCACTCTTGAAGATATGGCCCGCAACCGGAATCAATGGAAGAATTGTGTACATTATTGTATTGATTCACATGTTTAATTCTACAAACATTAAAATGACAAAAAAGAACAAAATCGGCGTGTGAAAAACAAACTAAAAATATTTTTTTCTGCTTTTTATCAAAATGTTCCATTCTTCCTGCGGCATATTAGTTGAAGTGTGTTGCTCACCTTCAACTAGCATGCCACGATGATTATGATGCCATGAATCTTGCTTATCTCCTTATCTCCATGGTTTTAGGCTGGCTCTTTGTCTATCTAATAGACTGTTGAAAATACATGGTTGGCGGCATCCGGTTTCGGATTTGCCTGTCACTGTGGCAAGCCACAGGACGCCTGCACCTACACAGGGACCATGGGTGGCTTGCGCTACACCACCCACAGCTCCAACCACACACCCCATATCCAGTGTAAACCCGAAGGAATAAGACCGGGAGGCATGTGGATGGGAACCACGTTTCATCAACGGAGCCGGCCCACACTCCTTCACAGGCAAACACAAGCACACTGTATTTGGGGAATCAAGCGCACACAAGGCGGTGGCTGGACCGTAGTCCGCTCCACACTGAGTGCATAGAACCGCTCTTTGAGCCCAGCACGGCCACAAGAACCGTGCACCCCGTCCACTCCAGCAACGACCAACTGTCTCCTGGAGTCAATATGGACGAGGTAGTGGGTAATAGACAGGTAGACACCTTGTCAACATACACATCAAGCGCAACCACACCGGGGATATCACACAACAGCCATTCACTTTAAACGACAAGTTGACATCAAGTAAATCCAACAACGCATACAGATAGGGTGGCATAACTCTTCTCTAATTTACCATATGAAGTAAGTGCGTTAACAACAAATCCGTGATAAGTAAGAAATGTCCACAAGTTACTTAAAAATGCTACAAACGCAACAAAATTACCGAAGATAAGCGCAATTAGTGTAAGCAACGTGGCCAGTTAATAGAACATTATTCTGGGAGGCAGAACAAACCAAATAAAGCGGAATCAAATTTATCCAGCTTAAAAAGACTTAGTTTAAGTGTACGTTGGTTTAGCCCAACTGCGGTGAAGAAGCATCAAGAATGCAACATCAGCCTCAGCATGGGGCACATGGTTGGCGGCATCCGGTTTCGGATTTGCCTGTCACTGTAGCAAGCCACAGGACGCCTGCGCCTACAGAGGGACCATGGATGGCTTGCGCTGCACCACCCACAGCTCCAACCACACCCCCCATATCCAGTGTAAACCCAAAGGAATAAGACCGGGAGGCATGTGGATGGGAGCCACGTTTCATCAACGAAGCCGGCCCACACTGCTTCACAGGCAAACACAAGCACACTGTATTTGGGGAATCAAGCGCACACAAGGCGGTGGCTGGACCGTAGTCCGCTCCACACTGAGTGCACGGAACCACTCTTCGAGCTTAGCACGGCCACAAGGACCGTGCACCCCGTCCCCTCCAGCAACGACCAACTGTCTCCTGGAGTCAATATGGACGAGGTAGTTGGTAATAGACAGGTAGGCGCCTTCTCAACATGCACATCAAGCGCAGCCACACTGGGGATAGCACGCAACAGCCAATCACTTTAAACGACAAAATGAAATAACATAAATCCAATAATGCATACAGATACGGTGGTATAACTCTTCGCTAAATTAGCATATGAAGTAAGTTGGTTAGCAATGAATCCGCGATAATGAAAAAGAATGTCCACAAGTTACTCAAAAATGCTACAAACGCAACAAAATTACCGAAGATAAGCGCAATTAGCGTAAGCGACGTGGCCAACTAATAGAAGACTATTCAGATAGGCAAAACTAACCAAATATACTGGAATGAAATTTATGCAGCTTAAAGAGACCTAGTATAAGTGTAAGTTGGTTTAGCCCAACTGCGGTGAAGAAGCATCAAGAATGCAACATCAGCCTCAGCATGGGGCACACATACATACATGGTTGGCGGCATCCGGTTTCGGATTTGCCTGTCACTGTGGCCAGCCACAGGACGCCTGCGCCTACACAGGGACCATGGGTGGCTTGCGCTGCACCACTCACAGCTTCAACCACACCCCCCATATCCAGTGTAAACCCAAAGGAATAAGACCGGGAGGCATGCGGATGGGAGCCACGTTTCATCAACGAAGCCGGCCCACACTCCTTCACAGGCAAACACAAGCACACTGTATTTGGGGAATCAAGCGCACACAAGGCAGTGGCTGGACCGTAGTCCGCTCCACACTGAGTGCATGGAACCACACTTTGATCCTAACACGGCCACAAGGACCGTGCACCTTGTCCCCTCCAGCAACGACCAACTGTCTCCTGGAGCCAGTATGAACGATGTAGTGGGTAATAGACAGGTAGGCACCTTGTCAACATGCACATCAAGCGCATCCACACCGGGGATATCAAACAACAGCCAAACACTTGAGAGAGAAAGAAAAAGAGAAGAGAAAAAGAAATTCTCGATTAATGCATAAGGAAACGGTGATATAAACCTTAATTAAATAGCATATGTAATGAGTTGTTTACAAACAAATCCTAGCTAAGTGCACGAGGTCAGGAAATATAGTTCACGGAATGCCGCGAACACAAATATGGTACGGAAATCGAATACAATTGGCTTAGGCGAGGTGTGCAAGTTAATGGAACAGAGTACTGGTAGACATTTATATGAGAAAGGAAAGCATTAAGGCACAAACTGTAAGCCCACCACCTGAAATAAAGAGACTTGGCATGCAAGCACGCGGTTAGTAAATCGAATTCAGCGTGCCTACAAACGCTGCGCCGGCTCGCCATAATTCTCTGCAGGGCCCGTCGTCGCTTCTGTAGTGGCCCCAAAGGACCCAGCTCATGGCCCACTAGACATTTATATGAGAAAGAAAGGCATTAGGAGAGAATCGCAAACTCACCACCGGAAATAAAGAGACTCAGCATGCAAGTTTGCGGTTAGTAAATCGAAATCAGCGTGCCTACAAACGCTGCGCCGGTGCTGCCTACGTTCACTGCTGGACCCGTCGGCGCTTCGGCAGTGGTCCCGAGTGACCTCTCTCATGGCTCACTAGGCCTGCCTGACTAAGGCACTCGCGACCGCATGTTCTACAGCACCATGCGCTCGATGTCGATGGCGTACAATTCATTGGTGCTTGCCGCTTCCGCACTTGCCGCTTCTTCTCTGCATGCATGAGGGCTTTTTCCCGCACTGTTATAATCTTCTCACTAGATGCAACTCCAAAAATAACAATTCACTGCTCCACAAAACTTCTAGTCCAACCGAAGGAAAAAAGCAGAACGCCAATGACCCTGACAAATAACGTATTAATCGCAGCCAACGAACACTGTACAACGACTGAGGACCCTGGCTGTATTTATAGGTCTCTGCTGACCTTCGACTTCTAGAATTGGAAGGTCAGCTGCCAAGGTTAGTGGTTCCCCATATCTTTTCCCGAGAGGTCAGGTGGATTTTGATCACGTGTAGAAGCAGAACATTCAGGAACGTTCGAAATCGATGCGATAATCGTTAATAATCGATTAATCGCTAAAATAGGGAATTTCCAAGGCAATTCTTACTTTCTCCCGGACACCTCCCCTCCTGAGATATGTTCCGAGGTGTAAGAGGAAAGCCTGGGATCAACTTGCAGTCTTCGGGACGGTGTTCTCTGCCTGTCGGTCCACCTCCTTGGCAGAAGCGCCCGAGAACTTTGTTCCGATGTTCTTGTTCTGGATTCGTTGCTCGACCTTGGGCAGTCGTCCACTGTTACCTTCGGCAGGTTGAAAGTTTCCACCAGTAAATCGAACGGGAGGTCAGTAGGCCTTTCTTGTTCTGGCTGACACAATGTGGGCCGTAACTGGTTTGCATGCCGCGGCCAGACCTGTGCGCCCACATTCACGTCGTACATGACGTTTCCGCGCTTGCTTTTGACCGTCCCTGGCGTCCATTTTGCATGGCCTTCCCGGTAGTCACGTACTAGCACCTTCTGTCCAAGCGTGAATGATCACTTCTTTGCTCCATGCCGCCGGTTAAACTCCTGTTCCATTCTGCGGTTTCTTTCACCAACAGAGGACTCCGAGCCCGGTCGGATGGCGTCGAAAGGCATGCGGAGCTTCCGGTTCATCATAACCTGTGCTGGAGAGACTCCGTCTGGTGCTTGTGGATTCGGTGTTGATCGGTAGAGGAAAAGGAACCGGTCAACCACCTCCTCTATACGTCCCTCCCCTTTTGATTTTTGGAGGGCTCGCTTGAATGTGTCGACAAATCTTTCTGCCTGGCCATTCGACTGTGGGTGAAACGGCGGCGAGCGAACGTGCTGGACGGCGCATTGCTTGCAAAACTCCTTAAACGCTGCTGAAGTAAACTGTGAGCCATTGTCAGTGACCATTGTCTCAGGACAGCCGAATCTGCTAAAGGCCTGGCGCAGTTTCGATATGGTGGCATTGGTGGTGGTGTTATCCATGAGAAATACTTCTGGCCACTTGCTGTATGAGTCGACTATAATGAGGAAACTTCTCCCGTTGATCGGCCCTGCAAAGTCGACATGAATGCGGGACCACGGCTTAGTAGCTATTGGCCATGAACAGAGTTCTGCTTCCGGTGGCGCTTTCAAGACATCGGCACACTTTTGGCAGCTTCTGGCTATTTCTTCTAACTGCTTGTCCATTAAGGGCCAGTATACGTAACTGCGGACAAGCGCCTTCATCCGGTTGATCCCAGGATGCCCGGCGTGGAACTGTCGAATAAGGCGCTGCTGAAGTGCCTTGGGGATGACCACTCTTTCCGAAAATAGTATGCAATCGTTTACAATAGCGAGTGAGTGTCTCCTCTGAAAATACTGTTGCAACTCGGCGGATGGACATGAACGTGGCCAACTTGTTTTGTGAATCTGAGTAACCTTCTTGAGTATTGGGTCCCGAAGTGTTTCGGTCCGTACAGCTTCTGCGGTAACTGGTAGACAGTGCAGTGCATCAGTTACCAGAAAGTTCACGTCTGGTTCAATCTCCACCGAGGCAATGATTGTGTCTTCATGTTCTTGCTGACGGGTATCAATTAGGCGTGACAGTGCATCTGCTTGGCCAATGGAAACTGTCGACTGATATTGGATCTCGAAATCATACCCCATTAAGGTAAGAGCCCAACGTTGTAGCCGGTTGGCTGTGTAGGCCGGGATGCCCTTTTTCGAACCAAAGATAGCGAGCAAGGGTTTGTGATCTGTCAGAAGCTTGAAGCGGCGGCCGTATAGCATTTTGTGGAATTTCTTAACCGCGTACACTATGGCCAATGCTTCTTTCTCAATCTGACTGTAGTTCTTCTCGGCCTTGGTAAGGGTTCTGGCGGCATGGGCGATTGCTTTTTGAGATCCATCCGTGTATGTGTGTGCAATTACTGCACCAATCCCATGGCTTGATGCATCTGTGGTTAGGACGATCTCTTTGGAGGGATCGAAATGTGTCAAAAGCAAGTTTGAAGACAACAGTGACTTTACTCGTTCGAAGGCATTCTGACATTCTGCTGTCCAGTTCCAAGGTTGTCCTTTGGATAGGAGCTTGTTTAACGGGGCACGCAAGCGGTGCATCT